ATGTTTGTATATCTGGAGTGTGTAACAAAAGTAAAGCATGTCTGGTTGAAGAAGCTGTGGTTGAACCAGAGAAAATCTCAGTTAATTCCTTCTGTTGGGTTTTCGCTTCTCTAGCCTGATAAAAAAGAAAATGTATTTATCCGAAAGGTCTCACCTCACCATAAACCATGTGTGTGTGTGTGTATTGGGTTACAACAGGCTTGTTTCTCACTCTGTAAATTAGCTGGAGCTGGATGGGGTAGGAAACAATTCAAGTTAGAGGAAAATAAATGTATTGAATTAATATAAAAGAGTAAATGTTACTTATTGTAGAGATGGAGAGAAAAATAAAAGAGTAAACTGAGTTGTGTTTTATTAAATGAAGAATATTTTGGAGAACGCTGCATCCTCTTCATCAGACTGCCTTACAACAACAGAGTGTCTTCAGTCAGAGGTTTCTCCTAATCTGCTGTAACAGCTGTTTAGTTAAATATTGTCTTTTTTCAGTTCTAGATTTTCTAGCATAACAGATGATTAGTTATGGGTTTTTTTTTATGTTGTTAGTGACTGATTTTGACACATTTACAAAAACATTTACAAACAAATAAACCAAATTAATCCGACATGATAAAGTACTTTTATTATTTTTTTAGAATTTGGTTTGTCATAGGCTAATGTTATTTTTAAATCAGACTCTAATCTAATTTTATTGGAAAGGGGCACACAAGCCCTGAAGTTGCGCAGAGGTTTCGCCCTCTACTGGTCAAAGTCAGCATTGCTGCATATTTCCAGTTAAATGTAATTAATGGGAAGCGATTTTGTTTTTTATTACTCTTGATGGCAAAGTCATAGTTTAAAATTGATCCTTTCAACCTTATCCAAAAGTCTCTAAATAAATATAGCTTGAAGAGATATGATGGTGAATGTAGGAAGAAAGCAATTTTCTATTTATGTTTGTTTGTAATAGTTTTGTAATGTAGTTGCATTTCATTAAATGGTTTAATAATATTTAATCTTTGTGTAATTTATTTTACTCTAACATTTGTAAGATATATAAGCATGTCCGTTTTAAGGGAAAAAAGCCAGTTTCATACAACATTCTTATTATTTTGTTAAATTTTTTAGCTTTTACATAAATCAATTCATTAAATCTGTCAGAATAATTATTTTCATAATGTTATCATGTCGCTGATATTGTCTGTGCATCTATAATCGATCGCTATTGCCACAAAATAAGTATTTATTTCAGCAATATAATCTGTCATCTCTTTCCACACTAGATGGCTTTAAAATCATGTGTCTGTTTATGTCCTAACAGATAAAAGTTTTAAGCATGACTCTGCAAAAGGCTCTCCTGACTTTTGAACAGAAATGGAAGGTTGAGCTCTTGGCTTTGGAAGCCCTTTTGACACCGTTTCCAAACCTCCTTGTGACAGCAGACGACTGCACTGAAATTATTATCACATGATAAAGATGGTGATGGAAAACAAACACGCTCTGCATCCGAAACGGGTGGTAGGCCCATCATTCCTCTTCCTGCTGCTGCTTTTTTTTTTTCTTCTGTGCGTGAGAGAGCACCAAACTCCAATGCACAAAAAAAGTCATATGAGGGGCACATATTTTCCCCCAGATGTCAACTCTAACGAAAACATTTTGGGATGCGATTGAATCAATTATATCTGACTTTATAATTTTTACATATTTCACTACGATTAAATTCGTTTAATGCATCTATTATTGGTATAAAGTGTTTGATATTTCAATAAAAAGTAAATATACAATTTCACAGAGGTATGAGCCGATGAGAAAAATGAAGGAAAAAGAAAAAAAATAGCCAAAATAGAACCCCAAGGTTTTTTAATAAGCGTTTTTTTTTCATAATATATTTTAATATATTAAAAGGGTTTCCAAAAGAGGAACATGAGCATGCGCATCTTCTTCCGCAGTGGCTCTAATGAGTGATGAGGTGCGCCCTATTAGAAAGCATCACATGTTTATGAGCTCAGCGGAGCCTAATAAATTAGAGGACATGTGTGCAGACAGGGGGAAAGGTGCTGGATGAGGACAGGGAAACACAAGCTGGGTCGCTCCAGTCAGAAACTGTTTGTTCAAGTTGTTAAACTGTTGTTTTTTTGGGTAGAAATTTTGTTCTGGACAGGCAGACATGAGGATCCTGCAGGATTTGTGTCTCCTGGCTTTTTACGCCTGCTGCGTTTATCAAGCTGATGCGCGACAGAGTAAGTTTGAACTTTTAAATGGTTTCAGTGAACATAGAATAGCTGGAACAAATGAGAATGTTTCCTGTTTTGAATGTTAAATTGAGTAGATGGTTGAGGATCCTCTGTTTCTATGATGATTGTCCTGCGTTCAGCTCTGCAGTCAGTCCCATGAAACTAATTAGGGCGCATGCTCAAAGTCTCATCCAAACTATGATAACCAGGAAAAAACTAATAATTTAGTCACATTGGTGTGTGTTAATGGAAAACATCGAAAGACAAAATAAAAAATAAAATAAAACCGTTCTTCTGCTTCGATTACAGCCAATAGGGATGGTTTTGTCCGCACCCATGTCTGCTATTTCAAGGAACTCAACTTATTTTCTCTTCAAATCAAATTAGGCTGATGCAATTAGTGGTTTTCGTCTTCCCTTCCTCCGATATGATATTTAAAATGTCTCACCAAGGCTGAATTTAGACTGAAGTGGGACATGATTCTGCGTAGATTGACAATATCGAATTATTTTTGCGTAATAATTAAGTTATAAACACCAAGAAAAATAACATGTACAGAATGATAATAATATGAATCATATAATATTAATTGTTTAGTCAGATTTTCTATTTTAAACTATCAATTGGGAGATTTAGTCATTGGATAGCTTACTAACCTTAATGTGTATTTATTCAGAATATAACATCAGAATAAATACTTTTTTTTCTCTCCTTTCAAAATGGGATTAGATTTTTTAATTTTTTATTTGGATTTTTTCTTTTCTTCTTTAAAGAAATATGTATTCTCTAAAGGATTTCACTTTCCTTGTAGATTTTGCATGACCACAACAAACTTCTTTGTTTTTTTAAAGGGATTCTATTAGACAGAACAAACAAAGAAAATATTTCAATATAAAGTAAAAGTAACTTTCACACAAAAACATCCTCAAAACTAAATCATATATTTGTTAACAACCCCTTAATAAAATCTTCTGCAAACCATTGCTTTTTATAAGCAAACAATTAGAAATGTAAACAGTAAATGAGGTCCCACCCATCCAATCTATGTAGAAGTCCAGCTGTTCTGTAAAGGCCTCAGAGAAAAAACAGCATTGAGAACAAAGTAACACATCAGACAGGTTAGAAGCAAGAAGGAGGCTGAGTTAAAAAAAAAAAAAAAAAAACTTATCTCAAAAGAGCAATTGAAGCTAAAGTGAGAAGCAAAAATTTGATTGACAGCAAATCAGAAAAGACGCCCATTGGTAACTCTGCAGGAGCTGCAGAGATGTAGGGCTCAGCGGGGAGAGTATACGTTTTGGACTCGACAAATTCAGTCAGGCAAGAAGAAAGCCATGTTTTCAAAGAAACTAAAGTGAAAATTTGCCCTGAAAGTAAAGGAGAAAAAGATAATCTGGTCGGATGAGACGACACTGAACTTTTGAATGAGGCTGTGTGCTGAAAAATACAAAAAGCACATAAAAAAAAGTCCCCTTCTTGAAAACCAGGTGGTGGAGGCATCATGCTGTGGGGATGCTTTTCTTCACTGCCAAAAGTTAATAAAATCTGAGAATCTGTGCTAAGACTTCAAAAACAATATCACTGAAGCTCTTTTTTGCAGTCAGAATGTGTTTGGGCTGTTTGTAGACAAAAACCTTATAGTTAGAAGTTGTTTTATGCCAACTCATAAAAAAATGGTTATAAATAGTATAGCTGTGAAACTCAGTCTCTATTTCAGACCACTCATTTGTGTGTTTTTCTGTCCTCTTCTAGCATATCGGGATGTTTTCCCCCACAAGCACTCATTAACAGGAAAGTTTCCATTTCCAATCCCACCAATCCCGGGATGGGAGCCTGATACCAATCCATGGGATGATTACCTCTACCCACCGCTAAACTCAAAGCCCAGAGAGCTAATGCATCACAGAGGTGAATAAGTTCCTGTCTTTTAATTTCAAAATGTCTGCAGCTAATTTCTTTGTTATCAACCAGTAATGTGCACTTTTCTGCAGGTAAACCGAAAGTCCGTCTAACCAGCGACAGCCCAGCTATTAATGGCTCATGCATAACCTTTACTGCCAAGCTGGAGTATCCTCCGTGTCAGAGGGAAGATGCCAATGGGGACCTTGTCTGGGATGAGCACTGCGAGGATGGTACGGAGCTGGAGGCCTCAGGTGCTGCCAGGAAGCAAGGCCAGGGCATAAATGGCACATGACACCCCCATGACACAGGGGAAAAAAATCAATCTAGAAAACAACAGGCTAAGATTTCATTTTGTATGTGTTGGTGTTTGTTTTCCATTCAGCATAAAAAATAAAGGTGGACAACGAACCCAATTTAGTTCATAGACTGGATAGAAAAAAAATGTCTGTTTTTCACTCTATGAATAGTTGTGGATAATGCAGTTTTTCTCTCTACTGCAGTGACTGAAAACAAAGCATAAAGTCATTATAAGCATATGCTCTGTTTATTTTTTTTTTCTGTCATAGACAATCCATTGAATTAAATGCACCAGCAGTTAAACTACTACATAAATAAATGTTTTACTGCAAATAAAATATAAAATGAATCATATTTCTACATATTTAAGAATGGGGTGCACAAACCAAACACATTAGCTGTAATATTTTTTAGAATTAATATTTTCTCCCATTAGTGAAGGTCCCTGAATCTAATTTAAATGTGAATATTGATATATGAATGGAATTAAACCCTATTTTTTAACAATGCATCCGCTTCCTTGCCTTTGGACAGCTAACGGACAGCTTCGCTCAGGATATGTGTATAACTGGACTTCTTGGTTGGATGATTACGGATTTGGAAAGTGCACAGACAAGGCAAAATGCAATGTGTTCCCTGATGGGAAGCCTTTTCCACAGAGCAATGACTGGAGGCGCAAGAGCTACGTCTATGTTTGGCACACAATGGGTGAGCATGAGACGGCTGCTGACCAGCTACTCAAACAACAACCCAAACTAAATCAGAAACTCCTGCATTTTTGACGTCTGCTTTCTGTTCCAGGCCAGTACTATGAAACATGTGATGGATCATCTTCCAGTGTGACCATTAACACCACTAATATCCCACTGGGGGCAGAGGTCATGGAGGTTATGGTGTATAGGAAGCGTGAGCGCAGGAAGTACAGCCCCCTCACTAATGACAACACTGTATTCTTAATCACAGGTGGAGACTTATTTACAAGTTCAAGTATCAAATAGAAAACTATGAAAAAATAAATCATATGCATAATAGCTGCTTGCCACATCCCCTCAGATAAGATCCCACTGGCAGTTGACATCTCCCAGAAGTCTGCTGTCAACAAGTCTGCCAATGTTTTTATCCGTGGAGAGGAGATGGTCTTCAAAGTCCGGCTCCATGATCCCAGCGGCTACCTAAAGACGGCCGCATCAGTGGACTACATCTGGGACTTTAAAGATGGCAACCAGCTCGTGACACACCGCGAGGTGACGACGCACACTTACAGCACACTGGGGATAATGAATGTGAAGCTGGTAGTGGAGGCTGCGTTTCCTGTGGAGTGTCCACCCGCTTCTGCCACTCCGACTCCAAGGCGCCCCACATCGCCACCTCTTACAGGTACTTAGCTGAAGCAGCAAAGGCATCCTGGGTCTAAAATGTTTTTTTTAACTATGGAGATCTTAAAAAGATTTCTGATAAACCAATTCAGTTCTTCTCCTGAATTTAAAGAATAAGGTTTTAGTCACAGCCGTATACATTAGCTATTTACTGTAGCTGAACATAAGACATCAACTTGGATCCTGCAAACATCGCCAAAGTGGGTGGTCATGCAGAAAAAAGCCACAATGAAGCAATCAGACAATGGAGATTTTGGAAAACATGTTTTTTTGTTTGGTATGAATTCTTGATAAATTTGTTGAAGTTGGTTGGCAGTCCACGAGGCAGCTGCAATATGTCCAGCATTAAAATGTGTTAAATGATCTAAAATAAAATTAGTCTGAAAAAAAGGATAAACAGACAGAAATCTGTTTTTTTTTTTTTTACAGCATTGCAATTAGATGGCAGTGCAAAAACAGAAAAAAAACAACAAAAAAATAAAATAAGTTCTGAGAAAATATACCCGTATAATTTTGTACTAAAAGACTTTAATTTTCCTTTTTTTTTAGATTACTTAAACATTTAATTTTTTTCAGAGAGCTAGAATTATAAGCAAAGTGACTTTTTTTAAATAAATTTTTTAGTTTGTCTTACATTTTTCTGGGTTTACATACACTTCTCACAACAATTTGATAGACTGATGTCTGTTCCTCCCAACAGAAGTGGTGAAAGTTAATCATGTTTGTAAACCATCCTTTTAACTTGCCTATAAAAGCTCGGACTCATATAGGCTTATAGCCATTTCGATGATCCGCATATCCATGTCTTGTGGTTTAGCTTTCTTTTTTTTATTTTTTATTTTGTTTTGGGAAGAAATTTTATGTTATCTTTGGAATAATGGCCTCTTCCTTGCTGTGTGGCATTTCAGCCCATGTTCCCACAAGTTTAACTGTAGATAAAGGTCCTTTCTTATAGTTCTCAGCCAACTTTGATATTAAGTCTTTTGCTTTGGTTATGAGTCTTGTTTTTTGCAGTTTTTGTAATTACACATACTCTGAACCTGTCTGGTGTGGAATTATTACTGATTCTCATTGTCTGTTTATTTCTTTAGTGGGCCTTTAATTATCTTTCTGAAGGGCTAAACAATAAAACAAATTGAGATATTTCTGTGCTAAGAGTTTTAAGTGCAAAATATTAAAACCACCCAAACGGAACAAAGAATGATGATTGTAAACCTTTATCTGGGTATTTTCTGTCAGTGGCTCCTACTACTACTCCAGCTACCCACGCCGTGACAACCAAGATCAAGACAACGTCTGGTGAGTTTCTATGTATGTTTAGGGATTCATTTTGCTTCTGAAATGATGGTTTATATATCTTTTTATGTGTCCCATATCGCCTTTTTTGTTTCAGTGCCACCCAAGACCAGTCAGCCCATTTACTCGTCCACTTCCTCTGCAGTGACAACCGGGTTACCAACAACAGAGCCCCTTCCCTCCACTGTAGCGACTGAGTCCATCCCCACCACCACCCTGCCTTGGCTCAAAGAAAAGAGTCAGAACAGCAACGAATGTTTCCGTTACGCCTATGGGACATTCTCAGGCAACATCACTATAGTTGGTGGGTTGTCTTTTCCAGACTACAATGCTACATCACAACAAATGGATTTACTTAGATGAATATCTTAAAATTCTATGTTTTAAGCAATAAAGTTGCATAACACCGACTAAAATAAGTTGGAAGATAAGAAAAAAAGGTTCTATTTCTTTCCAGTACTTAATTTGGTAATAGTAACATTTTAGGGCTAACTGTATATAAGAGCATTAGTTGGAGCTATAAAACACTCAACTTTTCTTAAATGTGTCATCCTGCTTTTACAGAGCCAAAGCACCCTCTAAGAAATCGGCTAAAGAGTCGCATTGTGGACGTTTCGGCTGCCAGGGTGACCAACACCGACATTAACTTCCTGGTAAAATGTCTTGGCAGGTGAGCATTTTGTTTCACTGTTAAACTTTAAAGATGTTCTGTTAGCTTAAATGTTTGACTTCAGATGGGCATCTGGAATGCATTTTAATTCTTAATATTAGGAAATGTTTTTTGGTTATAAAATATAACATTTTAATTGACTTAGAGGTAACAGAATCAAAATCTTTTTTTTTTTTTTTGTGAATCTGTGGTCTGTTGTTTTAAACAGTGACAAATTAGACAAAAAAACAAGCTTGGTGGCTTTGACAATAAAAATGAGGAAATCATATGATTCAGGTTTTTTAGCTCCAGAGAAAAGAAAATCCTTGCAGCAAAGATTCTGAAAAAAGGCTAGGATTATGGTTTGTCTAAGTTAAAACTCCTACATCTTAGCATTCACAATACAGCAAAGAAATAGCAGATCTTATTTTGGGGTTCAAAAGTAAAAAACAAAGAATAAAACCCCAAATAACAAAAAAGAAATGAATGCTAAAATAGAACTACTTACTTTCATGTTATTGTTCCTTCTCAGTATCCCCACTTCCGCCTGCACCATTGTGTCAGACCCCAGCTGCACTAAAGTACGCAACATTATGTGCAACGATGTTCCACCATCAACAGAGTGTGAGGTGCATCTGAGGCGAAGGTTTCTGGAACCCGGCACCTACTGTGTGAACATCACCCTGGAGAGCTCAAAGAGCATGGCACTTGCTAGCACCACCATCACCATCAGCAAGTCTCAGGACACACCTGGTCAGTTAGAAAATTTCCCTGGAAAAAAAATTCTCTCCTTAGCTGTTTTTTTTTTTTTTTTTTATCTATATACAAAAAACTAACATTGTTTATTTGGCTTTGTTTGTGCATCCCAGTGCCTGAAACTCCAAACACTGCCCGGGTAGTTCTCACTTCTAGTGCTGTGCTGGTGGCAGTCTTTGCGATGATTGCCTACGTGGTTTACCGGTAAGTGCATCACATTGTCACTATTTTTATAGTGTATTTTATAGTATACTTATTTTTATAGTCAAACATGACAGAATATAGGAGCATGGTTCCCAATTTATGATACCAATACCACTAGTAGGATTTGGGGCTTCTTTGGTGGTACGGTACATTTATATATTTGGAAGGTAAAAAATAAATATTACCTGCAGTTGAAGAACAAAAATTAACTAAAGAGTTGAACAATCTACAACAAAACTTTTTAACATTTAAGAGCAGTCAAGATAGTTTTTTACAAAAATCTAAAGTATCACAGTTAACCAGTGACAGCTCTTTGGGGATGATATTGCATCATCAAGGATCAGTGAGATTTTATCAACTATTGGCAATAAAAAAAAAATGTAGTTCCTTTATATTCTTTAATTTCTTAAAGTGGCAGCACATTCACTAAGAGAGCGGTAGAACTCCAAACAACTTTTGCAAGTCAGCCATATTAGATTTATGGCATAACTGCTAACAGTCCTACCTTCCCACTTAAAATTACTTTTAAGAAGAAAACTTCAAATGAGTAAAAGTCATTGTTTTTAAACTATGAAAGCTGCATACTTGCAGAGTTGTCAGAACTTTTGTCTTCTAACACCTGGACGATGATTTCAATCACCCTTTGGCTTGTTCCTCCTGTGCATGCACAGTTTCTAAAATTATTTTTTGGTTCCCCCACACAGTGCTGAAAATCACCAATTCAAAATGCATGATTACCTCTTTGTAATGGATTGGTATAAAGTGTGTCAACTAGGAACTCCGTAAACAAAGGGGAAGGGTTTTTGTGATGCATCACTTCTAAGTAACCAAAGTTTCTGTAAGCTTGGTGCTCATTATTTAAAGTTTGAGAACTAATGCAAAGTGTCTATATAAAGGAATCATGGCAAATCATATAAGTTCATCAATAAGTTATATTGTCCCCTCCCACCCCACAGGCGCCACAAGCTTTACCGGCCCATCCGAAGGTCACTTGTTGAGGATGCCTGTGCCCGTTCTGATACAAGAGGTCCAATGGTTCGCCTGAGGGAGGCGCTCTTCCCCTCCAGTGAGGAGAGCCGCCACCTGCTGCATGAAAGACACCCTTTGTAGGGTTTGGAGGAGTTACATCCAATTGGCGTTTCTCTTTTACTTTAAAACTGGTGAATGATACTAATAGCAATGTGTCTGAAGATTAGTGTGCTGTCTGAAAAAATCCTAATGCTTTATAATACATTTACTAAACAGGTTGTTTAACTTGGTCCTACAGCACTAATTTTAATACCAGTTTGGAATTAATGTTCTGTGGAAAAGTTTGAATAAGCCATATTGGTATCTTTGATTAAAGGATACAAAATTTCCATGTGAGGTATGCTGGGCACCATGTTCCTAAGCTCTTATTAAACCTTTACAAGTTTGTTTTTCCCCACACTATTATACTTTTAAATCCGAGTCCAGATTATTTGAAGTCTGTTTTTTTTTTTTTCTTATCCTAAGTTGAAAGTGCTGTTCATAAAACCTAAGTTTTGCAAAGAAAATTGTGTTTAATTTGTAGAGATGCTAAAAACAAGTTACAAGGTATGAATGAACATGCTAACATTTAAGTTAGGTAATCATATAAAACGTCGATAACCATTAATCTTGTTTGATTGTTAAAGCTTAAACTGTGAAAATGTGTAGTTGAGCTCCTTTAATTGAAACTGCAACTTCCAAGAAATCTTCAATAAAATAAATATTTTAAAATCAGTACTTCGTTTTATTTATTAACCTGGATTACTGAAATATTGCCAAATAAATATTGTTAACATCAAAACAAAGAAAAATTGGCCATTGTACCAACTTTAGAAAAACATATGCTATTTTGTTCAACAGCTGACAAACATGTTTGAATTTAAATAAAAAGCATCCGTCCATCTTTTTTTTTTTATATAAACCTTTAGGAACCAGAATTCATTCAGCAGAAGGACAGGCTTACGTCCAATGTCAACATCAAAGAAAAGCCAACAGACTTTTATTTTATTTTTTTATTCAGAGGCATTTGACAAGTGGAGCTGTGTGGTTGTGGGGAGGTGACGGGGCACAAGTATGGTTGCAGAGGGGGGAGGAGAGAACATCATGCTGATAGATCACTTTCCAAAAACAGATTCAGTTCCTCTTATTTGTCCCATACCAAGGGAAAAAAAAAATATGTTCCACATTACACAGCCAAGAAATACTAACCAAAAAGGCTTTTAAATCAGTGAGTTTAGCATCTGCTAAAGACAAAAGGGACTTGCATTTTCTTGTTTTCAAGTCATTTAAATCTAAAAGATCGGGAGGAGGGGAGAAACAAACAAAACAGTCCGTTTATTTTTTGTATAAGACTGAAAGCAAAAGAAATCAAAGATTTGATTTTCTTACAGAAAAGAAATAGCACTAGTTTGAATATATTTAAGCCACACCACCAAAAATAGAAAGCAGAAAGGAATTACCATTCAGGAGTTCAATAAAGCCAAAAAGGAGTATATATCAATATAAACACTGTCAAAAGAAAACATTTCTAATCACTTTCCATTATTCTTAAATCTACAGAGTTCATGATTTTAAATTTTCATTTCTCTTATGGGGAGGTGGACAAAAGTGTGTGTGAAGGGGAGGGGTGGGTTTCTAACAAATGGAAGAATGCCTCTAATTCAAATATGTGTCTAAAGAGGTAGATCAAAAGCAAACTGGATGAGGGGAGGGTGAGTATCAGGAGGATCCTTTTAAGTATCACTTGTGCCCCTAAGTTAAGGATGGTGTCTGGAGGGCGCGCCCAGTTAGAAACAAGTGTTTGGGGTACTGAGGTATTGGTGCGCGCTGGCGCTCAGTGGGGGCGGGGTGAGGCGTCCAGAGCCACGGCAACTCCCCCCACCCCTCTCCCCCTCAGCTGAGGTAGACTGCGTTCTACTGTGGAAGCATGGATACACTAGCACTTTTACCACAACCGATATACATTTACATTCGGCGAGGAAACAAAGGAAATAAAATTGACTACGTTTTGGATCTTTGCTTCCCGTCCGAGTGAGGGTTCATTCACAAATATGTTCGACTTGATTCCCCTGGATGAGCAACAAAAATAAAAATAAAAACCTAATCAAGTCAAAAATATGTCAACTCACTTTCTTAAAGCACAAAACATAAAAATGCTCCCATCTGTGCCACTCCCTCTACTGTTACCATCCAGGAGGATATGAAGGACTTAATGGCCATGTCATTGCTATGGTGGAGTTTGGACCTTAGCAGAACAGCATCATCAATACGGCGGTGGATGACACAGAAATGAAACGGACCAAAGAGGGGGCAAAAATAAAATGGCAAAGACTCTGACACAGCCCCTATAAGAAGGCAAAAGGAGGATCTGACATTAAACTACCAACAAAACCCCAAACAAAATGGCATTGCTGTTATATAAACGGTTGGCATTTTTTTTGCACGCTTTTAGTTCTTTGATTTTAAGAAGATGATGGACCTGAAAGGGGGAAAAAAAGACAGAGGCAATTTTTTTCTCTATACACTTCTGTCAGCCGCCAGCTGAGGGGAGGGGTGGGCACCAACTCTTGTTCCAAGGCTGCTATGTACAAATAAACCTTATGTACAATGCCGCCTAAAGCACCAGAGTTGAAGGCAAGGTCAGTTGGCAGCTGACCTGAAAATTTTAAATTTTCTTAAAAAAATAAAAATGTTCAAAGACTATCAGCTTTATAAAGTATACAAAATACCACAAAAGCAAAATAAAAAGAAAGGAACTTTTTTTTTCTCCATATAATCTTTTTTTTCTCTTCTGAGGTACTAGATCCTGAGGTAGATAAACAAAATGCATATTAAATTGGATTTTCAGGGCAGCAGCAGTTTGGCACCCTTTTCCCCAAAAGTGTCAGTCGCCGTGCTGCCCACTCCACTAAATATATATATATATTTAATTCATTTATATATCGATCTTCTCATATAGGTCTATCTATAAAATGCATCCGAATTTCATTTTAAAATGCCACGGTCATTCCGAGGGCAGGACGCCTGATATAATACACCCTCAAAGGGGTTCCTGTCCTAGAACAAGAACTTTCCCCCTAAATGTGGCCCATCCAGCCAGAGCCAACCCTCCCCCCAAATAAACCTCCGTTGGTCCCACCAGGACCAAGCAATGCCTTTCTTTCCACGGAAAAAAACCCGTGAGAAAGCTTTAACCCATTAAGAAAAAAACAAAACGAACATCTTTAAGGTACCAAAGATGGGGAGGGGGGTATATCTTCGTGGTTTTAGTGTAAAACTAACAAAATGAAACAAAAAACTACACCCAGGGGTGGAGTGGGGTGGGGGCGGTCAAATGGAGGGCAGGTGATGTTGGTGGGAGCCCTCAGTACATTCTCACAGCAGATGCAGAGAGGTGAAGTGGGTCGAGCTTTAAAAGAGCAAGGTCTTACTGCCCACACCTTAAGGTCATTACGTTGTTCAGGGAGGGGTGGATGTTTGGTTCCGATGACCTGACCCCTGAGATGTGCATTAGGATCCAGTGTCATTACTCCCCCCCATGCTCCTTCTGAGCTGTTCTGCATCCGTCCATCTTTCAAGTTTCACGATGGATCCAGTCACCGCTCCTCCAGATCTGCTGGATCCTTACTTCCTGCGCTGCATCGGAGGTTGGGCTCCCGATGGAGACTTAGGCTGCTGTTGCTGCTGCTGCTGTTGTTGTTGCTGTTGCCTCCTCACCTGAGCCAGGATCTCCTGAATCTTCCTCTGGGCCAACTAAATAAGACGGCAGAACATTAGTACCATCGAAACTGAATCCAATCCTGGACTAAATGCACTACATTTCATTTTTGCTGCCATCTGCTGTCTATTATTGAGGCTTCAAAAACAGCAGAAGCAAAGAGCAATCTAAAAGGGGTAACAGAGCCTTGAATCAGAACTTATTGGTAAATCGTTTTTGAAAAAAAAAAAAGAGAAACAAACACCCGTTTTATAGACTGTGATAACCATGAGAACCACCTAACCAGTCTGGTCAGATTCACTGACGGCAACAAGAATCTGTCAAACTGAGAAATTTTATTTGCAAATAGATTTGTGATCTCACCAGTGTATTTCAGTGTAGTGGTCAGTCATGTTAAAGAACGCTGAAAAATCATGCCAACGCACTTATTTTCAATAAGCATAAGGCCCTTTGACCATTCAGTTCAACAGTTTCAGCAGCCTTATCAATCTTGAAAATTCTTTGAAAGATATCTTGAGTTGTGAACAGAACAAGAAACCTAGCACAATATGCCATGATCCATTTTGCCAGGGAGCTTCATTTATCCAGAAAAGGACTTTAGTTCCAAGGCTAGTAATTCAGCCCAATCTGGCCTGGCTGGAGCATTTAATTGTCCAAAACCAAGGATGCCAACATTAGCGATGGCAACGCCTCTGGTTGCTGTAATACGTTTCGCATCAAAATGGTATTTTAATAGTTTTGGAGATTGGTAAATTTCTTTGCACACAGCAATGATCTTTTCCAATGCCTCTTTGGAGCGTTTTGTTTTAAACCAGAAATGATTCCAGAAACGAGCCGAGAGAACTGCCTTCTGAAGCCACTTGTGTATCAGATTCAAAGACGTGCCAGAAACATAACATTTTAAGATTCTGGGTTCAGGACTTTTATATGAAAAAAAAAACATACATTCATCTATTTTTAATACATCCATCTATAGTCAAATTTTCAAATTCAAGTCACGGCCCAGATACTTTCATCGTTTGGGTTTCCAAACGATGAAAGTTAATGTGGCAAGGAATGGCAGAAATAAAAACTACTAAAAATATTAAAAGTTAATAAAGGCCATATTTTAAACTTGTTCATCATTTACTTAAGAGGGTAAAGCCCCTGTCACACCTTGACAATTTAGCCCGCGTACGCCTAACGTACGACAAATCAGGCAAAAATGCTGGCATACCTTAGATAAGTTATAGGTCAATTTTGCATAAGTCATGAGCATGCTGAAATATGCTGGCACAGGTCGACATATGTCAAGTACGTCAAGCATACGTTGCCAGCGTATGCTCAAACGTGGGCCATAAGTTATAGGTAAGTTATCTGATTGTTGACAAATGTAAACTGTAAGGTACACATAAGTCGTGCTGTCTAGCTTTTCCAAAACCTACGAGTAACTTGTGCATAGCTAATGCGCAACTTATCTCCCAACATATCCGATGTGTTCCAGATGACCATTGAACACGTTTCTAACTTGGCGTATTGGCAGCTTTTTGATGTAATGTGGGTTCACAGGAGGAAACTGTCAGTCCTCCTCCAGACTTCCTCCCCATCATAGGGTGAGTGTGAAGGTGAGCGTGATGGATCCTCCCTGCGTTCACACCCACAGGCAACAAACTTCCTAGCAGACAACGCTGAATCTGCCTTTTCTTTTTATTTATTCTTTTTTTTCCTGCAGGTGTTAAACAGCAGCCAGATTAAAACCGCAATCAAAGAAATTTTTATGGAGGCCGGGCGCCTCCGGGCGCATTGCTTCCTCCCCTCAGGACTCTGACTTGTGACATTTCATGGGCATTACACTGATGTGCATTATGCATAAGCTAGGCTGTCACTGGACACAAGTTCTGGATTCATTATTAATACTTTATGTATATGTCAAAACTGAAAAAATACATAGCCAGCGTATGCTTGACGTCCCAGAATCTTCTAAAACACTGGCATACCTTGAACTTTCTAAGTCGGCAAGGTGT